TTGGAAGGGTGTAAAATATCATAAGGTGACGAAAAGACCCGATTTACCATTTGTTGTGACGGAACACATAAGTAAGCTACAAGTCAATGTTATATGAACATCTCTTGTAGTCAAGTAACCATTGACATCAACCTTTCAGTGTCTTTAGTCAAATGAGATAACAAGCTCAACTTTATCCAAGTCTTTTGCTTGGGACTCACCAAGTTCAACCTTTTCGAATCTTTACCTTGAGATCTCCCAAATCCAAGTTAAACTCGTTCACTTGAAAATGACATAATAATCACAATACATATTTCCAAGTTACAATTAGGGAATCTCAATATATTTCATTAAATTGAATCTTATGCCTATTGATCAATTGCATTACAGTATAATATAACATGACTCCAACTAAATGACCACTACACCCAAAACATGTAATTCCAAATAAATAAGTCATATCGCATATGACTCCAAAGTTCAACATAGAGCAATTTAAATTGGGCTAACGTCCCCAGGACTCTTTTAAGTCAAAACCGAGTCAAAAGCTCAACAATTCAATTGGCCATTTTATAAAAGTCATCAAAAGCAATAAAAACGTAATTAACCAATGTTTATGCAAACATATGCTATAAGGACAGATTTAACTCAAAAACCACATTGGTTAGGGCAAAATATTTTCCAATAGAAATAGTACCATTTGTATTTCCAAAATGTCCCATAATATAACAATATGCATTTTTGAAACCAAATATACTAAAATGTATTAACACCAAAATAATCTTCATTTTATATACAAAAGAACCCACATTTATTATTTATTATCAAGATGTCCAAAAACCCCAAATGCGAGTGTTTCACAACAGTATAAAATCAAATGTACCAAATATGCATAACCCATCAAATATCTGCACATTTGATAAATATTAACTAAAACACATTAATACTTTAAAATTGATATATTTGGTATGTACAAAGTTTTCACAAAACAACTTGAACTTATTTTGCTAGATTTAGGCTAAATCTAGGTTTTACTCTAATCTTAAGCTTTTTTTGGTGAAGGCTTTAGATCTACAACCATAAATTACTAGAAACGTTATCTAGGTCACAAGTAACCTTTGTAAGAACATAAAGCTTTCAACCAAAACTCTTAGGATCTTAGGTTAGATATCCTCTAAAGACTCCAAAAAAATGATTTAAGAGTAACCCAAAATCATATCAAGGAGAAGGAAGAGAAGAGAGTTGAGAGAAGTGAGAAAAAATGAAGGGATTCAAGGTTGTTGGACAGAATAAAAGCTATTGGGCTTGGGGTGCCTTCTGACGCTGCTTAAGGCGCTTGGGCTTGAGGTCGCCCAACCCCCTTCTGTTTCATACGCCCATGC